GGAATAAACCTAGACGGTTCTTTTATGAACTCCCTTAATGCCACTTGGCCTAAGCATAGTGTTGCAGACTGTATGCTCAGTGCGATGACATGCCTGATTTTTTGCTATGAGACCAGCTGGGTCTGTGTTCAATGGAAGAGTGGCAATGAAGAGTAAGCTCTTGAGAAAGCTGGTTTTCTGAAGAGGCACAAATACACTCAGAATGAGGCAAGTGGAAGCCAGGGTCCACGGGGGTCAGGATTTTCAAATACACGGCCATGAGTCTCATGAACACCATCAGGAGAAGAGCCAAGCAGGAGCGCAGGTCTGGACCTCCATTTCCATCAGAGCCTAACACCACAGGACCCTATCTTCATGGTTAAGATGAACAGGTGGGGAATTGTGAGGGGACCACATCCCTTTTAAATGCAAGTAGGATGCCTACTTGGCAAGCTACAATTTCTCCTGATGAAAGAGAAACGAAAAGCAAACAGATGAAAGGAACTGCCCTGAGAGTTTTCCTTTGTCACAGAGGATCCCCTGATTGTTCCACCCTCTGGACCATCTCAGAGCCTCCATCTTCAGCGACCCCAGCACCTGCCCCAGGCAAGTAGGTGGGGGAAGCTGCTGTCTAAGGAATTACTGCTCTACCATTTCTTCTTAAGGATGTCACTAGTTTTAGTCGAAGTGACTCATTCACAGAAGTAGGTGCACTAGTAGGGGGAAGCTCTTAGTGATGACTTAACCCTTAATGTTGCTGTGCCTTTATATTTATCCTCACACTTGATCCCTTCCCTTGATGATCACTGAAGGCCAGTTTTGACTTAGGGCACCAATAAAAACATAGAAAGCACGTCCCACCCCTTTGGAATAATTTAAAGTGTTTGCCACCCAGATATGGAGAAATGTGAAAATTCTTAAAAATCTCTAAACCTAGGTGTGAGGGCAAGAAAGGGGAGGTGACTCCAACAGGTGAGAGGGAGCCAGAAAGTGAAAGAAAGATGGGAACAACGCTACTTGAGAATGCCTCCTCTACTCTGGGAGTAGCTGGGAAAGTGGTGTGTTCGGAATTGAAGATTTAGAAGCTTTGGGGCAAAAGCAATTCATTCTAGAAAGGCAGTTTCCTGATCCCTCTTGCAAAAAAACAGCTTATACTAGAACTCCCGGCACAACACCACCCCCACTAAGCTTGCAAACCTTCGGCACTGGGGACTTTACACACCTTATCTCATGGCGCCCTCATGACAAAAAGCAGAAAACAAAACAGCTTTCCTAATTCGAAAGCTGCCTAGTAATTCATTCTGACTTAAAAGTCTTGCAACTTGTTTTTGTCTTTTCTCTAACAAACCTCATCTCCGCTTCACTTGCTGAGCTATTTTTCTGCTAAACAGCCCCCAGCCTTTCCATCACACTCTCCACTCCCAATACACTCTTTACCCTGGATAGCTTATCCTTTAACCCAGAAGTTGTGTTCCAAGAAGGTGGTCACAAGCTAATAGCCTCAGAAGAATGAACAGACCCTCCAAAGTTTCTCTATGATGCCAGGTAGATTCACCAAGATTAAGAAGAATGCAGCAACCCGGACAACACCCTAGTCGCCTTTCTGTTCTGTCTGGTTTTTCTATAAAACCTTAGGACCCAGCTCCCACATGGACTCACAGTCTCTGAGGCACCAGCCTGCTGTGATTACCCTTCACCTGGCAAATCAATAAAGCTCTTCTTTTCTAATTCTCCCCAAACTCTGCCTCCAAGTCTCAAGTCAGCTGTCGGGGTACAGAGGCTGGTTTTTCGGCAACAATGACACTTTTAAGACAGGTAGTGTTGTTACCCCATTCTACAGATAGGGAAGCTAAGGCTTAGAGAGGTTTTGTAATTTCCTCAAGGCAAATACCAATAAATGGCAAAGCCAGGCTTGGAACTCAGGTCTGGCTGAGCTCAGACGCATGGGAATTCTGGTCCACTGCGGCGTTGCACTAGGACCCCAGAGCCTACCAGCTAGTAATTCAACTCAAAAGCTAGTTTTTGAACATTGTGGCAGAAGTTCCCATATGTGGATAAACTGTGCTCCTCTGTCAGGAGCAAGTTCATCCTTGGGATTCTGTGGGTTTGCCGGATAAGAGACACAGGCTAAAAATCTTGTCATTATAAACACTTTGGTTTTAAATATCCTTTCTCATAATTCCTCCTCCTGCAGCACAACAATGCAATCTACCCACATTTATGTATTTTCATACCTGTGTCCTTTGTGTATTTATTATTTAACTGACGTTAATTATGCAACTGGTGAGTCCTTACCACACTGCCTGTGGTTGAGTGTGAATCCTCTGATACCATGAACATTTCCATATAAACTACTAGATAAAGTACCCAATACAGTATCAAGGGAGGATCTCGCTTTATCATCCTTTGGATGGTTAGGGAGTCAGCAATTATTGTAAAATCATCATGTTCAGGGATCTTTCTTCTAAGTACTTTAAATGCAAGAATTAAAAAAATACCATGTTGGAAGAAGTCAGCTCAATATATCTTTTTGCAGAGGGCCCATGTGGGGCATATCTAGTAGCTGCATAACAGGACATCATCAGGGAAGATCAGAGACATTTCTCAATTCTCCTCATGTAGGGGGCCCGGCACCTGGGCCTTCAACCATATGTCCTTGAACACATTTATTTATTATAACTCCAACAAGTCACTATGCTGAGGAAGTTCAAAGAAAGGATATGACAAGAATCATCAATCCCTTCATTTTTTTCCCAAAACTTTAATCACAAAATAAAACTTTAATGTCCTCTAGGGCAACCCTTGACGACAAAACCAACCAAAGTGAAAAATCAGGGAGCCTCTTATTGTAAATTTCCATTGTTCCTGCCAGTGACAGACACTTCTTCCTGTTTATCACTCATATGAAGCATCTCAACATATCTGAGTGTGCATGACCAGCGTAAGTCACTTTATCAAAACACCATGAGAGCGTTTCACCTGCTCCACTCGCGTGGCCTGCTTGCGATTCCCTACGCACACCCTGCACACTCACCATTCTCCTTCTGACAAATCCTTCCTCTCTTCATGTGCACCTGAACCCTCCTCATTTTCCACAGTAGTGTTAGAGCACCACGTCCTTCCCTGCTACCCCAGGCCAAGATCTTTCACTCTCAAGACCAATGCTGTGCAATAGAAATATCACATGAGCTGCATTTGTAACTGTAAATTTTCTAGTAGTCACATTAAAAAAGTAACAAGAACAGGAATGATGGCTCTACTTAATAATACTGTATCAAACACTGGAAAAATGCTGAGAGTAGATGTCAGGCATACTGATCACATAAAAGATGGTATCCATGTGAGGAGCTGATATGTTAATTAGCTCGATGGTAGTAATCATTTCACTATGTACATATATATATATATATATCAAGTTATCATCTTGTATATATTAAATATTTATGATTTTTATTAAAAGATGCAAACATGTTAAAAAAAGATAATTCAAAAAACAAAATAATAAGAAATAGGTAAGATTACTTCTAATCATATAGTTTACTTAACCCAGTATATCCACATTAGTATAATCTCAACATGTAAATAAAATTAGTAATGAGATATTTACATTTTTTAAAAAACTAGAGTATATTTTATACTTACAGCACATATCAGCTGGACTCGCCACATTTCAAGGGCTCAGCAGAGACATGGACTGGGCAGTGCAGCACGAGCTGTGTGATTTCTGAGGACACAAGCGTAGCGCCTGGCACACAGTAAGAGTCATGCCTGTTGCTCAAGTTCTCTCTCTTTGAGATACACTTCTGTCTGTTTTGCTCAGTTTGTGATGATCACGGCTCCCTGTGCTGGTAAAACCTCCATGGCATGTGCACATCTCCTCAACTAATCTACCAGCCCTCGGGCAGAGATTAAGGGCTACACTTTGATTCTCCCACAGAGTACACTGAGCTGCCTGGAGTCCCCGAACCTGGTGACCCACTCCACATTGCCTCGGCTTGGTACAGGCTGTTACTCCTGCCCGAATGCTCCTTCCACTTCTCCTTTAAAAAATAACACCTGTTCTCAAAAAGCACCCTGCCCCTGGTGCCCCAGGCACCCCTGGGATGCAAACCCTAGGTTCTCTGGCGCTAAAGATAATCCATCAATTGGATTTAATGCCTACTTCTGAACATCTTTTATCAGGATTTACATTGTACACTCACAATCAATGTGCTTATTGGTTTCATTAACCACCCTATGAGCTGTTTTGTGTGTGTATGTGTGTGTTCCAGGTCTTACTGGTTTTAGATCACTAATATCAAACATCACACCTATAACACTAGTTGAGGAACAATACAGAGTATGCTAGACAAAGTATTAATTTATCTTCATAATTTTGAAACAAAACAGGTTTCTGACTTAAGATATAATCTGCATTTATCACCTACAAAGCAGGTAAATGATTAAGTGTTCAATATTGGCTGAGTCCCTGGAAAGGTTAAAGGAAAGATGGAATCCAACATCACCAAGCATGACAATCCAAAAGAGAAGCATCACTACCCTCATTTCACAGATGAGAAAATAGAAGCTCAGAAAGCTCAAAAGACTTGTCCAAGGCCACACAGCTAGTGAGTTCCTGAAGAGGGATCAGTCCAGATCTGTCTGTGAAGCTGATCTTCGTGCTGGTGTCCTAGTTACAACAAAGTTCTAGGGCAGTAGCCTTCTGATGGCTTCAAACAAACCCAAGCACAGGTGGCCTCTTTCCACAGATCACGGAGGAGAGCATGGCGCACAGGCAGGCATCTCTGTTAATTCCATTCCCCCTCTGGGATAATCTTCCCCCGCCCCACCCTGTCAAACACAATAGGCAGTGACAGAAGATGCATCCTGACTTGGCAGCAGAATAGACTCTTGGGGACACAGGGATGGATCAGACCAGTAGAAAAGCCCTGGGTCTACATCCCACGAGCTGTCGGAGGGCAAGAGTCAATTCCAGCTTCTGAGTGTGAGAAACACCTTTACCGTGCCCAACCTGCTTTCCAACGAGGCTCTTGTTTTCTCTCTCATTAAGCAATCCCGTACCATCCTCTGTACTGGAGTCTGCCTACACGTCACCCAATTGCACAGATTAAACTGTGTGCACATATGCCTGGCACCATGGTCGGTGCTGTCACAGGCAATCCCAGGGCTGCTGAGGTCTCCTGCAAGGCACTGAAGCTTCTAGCAACAAACCTGGTGGCAAGCAGAGTACTGGGTACATATCTGAAGTTGCAAACAGGGATGATTTCCCTTCCAGTCTCCCATCTCCCCTTCTAATAAGCAGCTGGACAGCTGGAAACAAAAGAGATTGGCAGGGCTGCCCTTAGAAGCATCTGCTGTCCTGAGTGCTGTGGCTCCTCCCCTAGAAGAATCATGACCCCACAGCGGGATAGATGGATTTTCTCAACCCGTTTCTCTGCAGGCTTAGTCTGAACTCACATCACACACAGATTAGCACCCGTGGGTAAATGTTTTGAGTTTGAATTTTTTTTTTTAATGAAAGACCATGTATCTATCCTATCACAAGGAAAGTCAACATACAGAAATCAGAATAACAACATAAATGAGAGACAAATATTTGCTTTGTTTCACAGGAGGTCTGATGCAGGGTTTCTTTTAATGGCAAGTTTCCTTGGTGCACTTAGAACAGGGCTTAGTTTACAGATAATTTTTTAGAGGAAAAAGTCCGGCAGTAAATCACAGCTGCCATTTACTGAGTAGTCTCTGTGAGACAGACTGTGATAAACACTTTACATGCATTATCTCAATTACTGCTCACAGTAACCCTAGAAATTAGATATTTGCCATTCCTGTTGTATAAATGAGAAATCTAAAGGTCAAAGAAGTGCAAAGTCAGGGGGCAAACGTGATATAGTGAGTTGAGCTGTTTCCCCCCAAAAGATAACCTGAAGTCCTAATCCCTGGTACCCGTGAGGGTGACTTTATTTGGGATGGGGTCTTTGCAGGTGTACTCAGGTTAGGGTGAGGTCATACGGGATTAGGGTGGGCCCTATATCCAAAGGCTGATGTCCTCTTAAGGAGATAGAGATCTGGACTCAGAGGACACACACACACACACACACACACACACACATACACACAGACAAACACACACACAGAGGTGGCGGCCATATGATGATGAAGGCAGAGACTGAAGTGATGCAGCTTTCAGCCAAGGAATGCTAACAATTCTCAAAGACCACCCGAGGCTAGGAAGTGGCAAGGAGGGACACGTCCCTAGAGTCTTCAGAGGAAGCCCTGATACCTTGATTTCAGACTTTTAGCCTCTAAAACTGTGAGAAAATACATTTCTGTTGTTTACAGCCCCACAGTGTGTGGAGGAAACTAACACCCCTGGGATGCAAACCCTAGGTTCTCTGGTGCTAAAGATAAACTGTCCTCCTCCCAGAACGTCAAGGCTGAGTGGCGTGGGGTTAGTGACATCGCAGGCCCTCAATCGAATCTACATCTGACTGCTCGCTCTCCAGGAAAGCCAGCGAAAGACTGTAGGCAGGGCAATGTGACAATCTATCAGACATGAGTTTCCTAAACGTGGCCCCAGGGAAAGGCGCAAGGGGAGACTGTTGAGACGTGCTGCTGTTGTCCAAGGAGAAAGGGAGGGGGCGTGGACTCATGGTGGCAGCAGGAATGAGCAGAGATGGATGACCCGGAGACGTGCTGGGAAGGCAGACTTGTAGGACGGCTGACACATTGGCGCTGGGGTAAGCGTGAGGGGCGAGCAGTGGGGAGGCCGAGGTTTCTGGCGGGGGAACTGGGTGGGTGGTGAAGCCCCAGAGAGAAGAAGGGAACAGTTCTCTGTGAGTGATCTAGCCTTGATGGACTCAAACTGAGATGGCCTGGTTGTAGAATTCTCTACGGGCATCAGGCAAAAGTAAGTACGAACCCTGGACTGGCAATACGCTAGCTACGAGATACTGGGCAAATCATTTAACCTCCCTCATGACTGTTTTCTCACCTGTGAAAAGTGAGGATGATGCTGAGTTACTACATGTAGAGACAATATAGGGAGTGTAGCCAATATTTTATAATAGCTATATATAGAGTCCAACCTTTAAAAATTGTGAATCACTATATTGTATACCTATTACTTATATAATATTCTACATCAACTATACATCAATTTAGAGAAAAAGAAATGAGGGAGCAGTGAGTAAAAGATACTGTGGTTGTACTGAGGCTGGGGGGACGGGGTGGGCCACTTTACACTTAAATGAGTAGCAGCGAGGTCCAGTGGCAAAAGCACTAGATTAAATAGAAGGTCCCAGGCAGAATCCAATCTCCAATCACTGACTACATAACTATAGTCTGAGGTCATCTATTTGTCCATTTCTTTATTTGTGAAACAATACTACTCCTATTGACCCATTTCACGGATTTTACCATTGTTGTTCAGAAAAAGTGAAGTAATGAAGTGGTTTGAAATGAAAAAAAAATTATTATTGGATTTTCTAGCCTCTAGAGTTGTGAGAAATAAATTTCTGTTGTTTATATGCCTCCCTACTGCAATTTTTAAAATAGGTTATCTGTATTGGTCAAAACATAGACGGAAATGTCAGGGACCAAAAACCAGCTAAAATAGTAGTTGCCTTTGGGGAATGGAATCAGGGCTGGTGAGGGCAGGGCAGAAGATTATCTTCTTTTTTTAACCTTGTCATACACTTAGTTGATTTTTAAAAACTATGCATATGTATTTTTTGATTCAAAATATGTTTTAAGAAAAATAAAGGAAATTAAAAATTACAAAATAAATATGTACAGAGCAATGGTAATAAGCACATGATGAATGGCTAGCTTTTATAAGATATTTTATAATTAACAGAATGCTTTCTTCTTTGAACACATCTTATTAGTTCTCATTATTTTCAAATGAGGTACAGGGGAACTTGTTTTAATTTCCTCAATTAAACGTGAGAAAAATCTGAGTTAACTGTGTGGTATACAGTGGTTAAGGACCTGTGCAAGCTCCCTCTAATGTCATAAGAAAATAACAATTGTTTCCAGCTCTGTTTATCCATGTCCATACTGTAAAGTATCTATCATTTTTAGTGCAGAGATTTAAACATTTTTGATTTAAAAGGGGATGGAAATGAATTAAAGCCAAGCAGTATAGAGGATATATATTTAATTTCCAACAATTCATGGGAACAGCATGTACCAGTAATAAAATAGCACTTTCTCTTCCTTAACAAATTTTTTTCTACTCTAAAGGGCTACTAAAGCCATTAAGTTTTGTTCAATGCAGGGCATCTTGTCTTTTTCCCTGAGGTTATATTACGTGGTGCCTTTCACGGTTTCAGATGTAAACTGCTCCCTAAGTGGGGGTCTGTTCTTTGTCCAGAACGTGTATCTGTTCCACAGCACAGTGTGTCCATCATGATGGGTGCAATTTATGTGCACATTCTCAGAGCTACACAAACAATTCACTCTTTTCTTAAAATATCTAAAATAAAACACTCTGTACAAACTAATAAAGAGCAGGCAGCTTTATATTTGTGTACTTGGGATCTGCTCTTTCAGCTTGAGAAACTGATAAATCTCAATGCCTCTACTAGTGAGGTGTAACTCGATTTCCCTGCTATTTAAAAACACAGCCTAAATGAGTTAGCATATAAAAAGACAAAATAAAATCTCAAGAGTCGTAATGAAAGGAAGAACTGACTAAAATAATGACAGAAATCTTGCCAAAGCCATTCCTTCTCTGACCTGGTTATTTCCCTCTGTATTTCCCTCAGATGTCTCAAAATGAAAAAGGTTCAAAAGTGAACACGCTGTGAGTTACCCTTTCTCCTCCCCCATCCAGACCTGATCTTTCCCCCACATTCTCTTTCTTGGTTAATGATTCCATCATCCAGCCAGAAGCGTGGAGCCATCCTGGGCCTCCACACTCACTGCCCAGGTCTGACTGGTCACCACAGCCTGGAGATGATGCCTCCCGATCATTGCTCCATCTCCTTCCTTCTCTCCATCCCCAAGTTTGACCCTTGGACCAAGTGTTCCTGAACTTCTGGAATCACCTCTTTAAGGGTATTCTTGCCTCTGGCTCTGGAGTCCTTCATTCATCCTCCACTGTGGTCCAATGAGCTTTATAAATTTTCTCTCTTCCTGGGTGACGCCCTTCACTGGCCCTGAGACCTACAGACTGTTGTGTCAGCTCCTTGGAGTAGCCTGGAAAGTCTGCCAGAATGACCTCTTCCTCCTGTGGAACCTCCTACCAGACTCCTCCCGGCCCAGCCAGCAACTAGTATCTCAGCTGTTCCATGCTGCCTGTGGTCTACCAGCCACATCATGCTGCTCCCTCTGCCTGAAAACGTTGTTCTCCACCTTGTGACCCGAGAGAACTATCCTTAAACCCACTGCTAGTTCTGACAGTGCCTCCTCCAGGAAGCCTTCTGGAACCTTTCCTTCTCATCCACTGCCACCTCAGTACCCTCGAGGTACTTGGACCCTAATTCTATTCTTGTACATTTCCCACTGTATTTATAATGTTTTAATTTATGCATCTATCCTCATAGCCACAGTGGCAGCTCCTTGGAGTGGAGACAGTCACTAATTCACCTCTGATGCCTCAGCCTGCAGCGTAGAGCCTGGACAACCACTGAAGTGCCCCATCAACTACTGACGTGATTTATGATCCCTGTTGCTCATTGTCAGCATCCCACCGTGACTACTTTTCAGTATCATCTCTTTCCAACTGACATCCTCCCAGACTGCTGTATTTTCTAATCTCACCAGACTCTTATCTCCCTGCATTTTGTAGATGGGGAAAGTGAGGCTCAGAGCATGTAAGCCATTCCTAATATCACACTGCCAGTAAGTAAGAGTCAGGATTTGACCCCAGAGCTGTGTGAGATCACAGATGCTCCAGCGCTACCCTCTGCTACTTTCCTAGGACAGAAGCAGTAGATTGGGAGCCATTTCTTCAAAGCATAAAACGATTCATCTCCCCATGTCTGTGCTCATTCTTCGCCTTCTCCCTAAAAGGCCCTTCTCTCC